GCCGCCCAAAGCATGTGCTTGGGTGCCTGGTGCCTGGAGCCGGCCCTGATTGGAATGCAACCCATGTGTATTATATGGAAAATTTAGATTGCCAACATTTCACCTGGAGCTCTTTTGCGGTTAAAAACGTTTAAGAAATGCAAGGCCTGTAAAACAGAGGACGTTTTGCACCATTCTGAATAGTGGACAGTTGGCTAAAACACTGTAATACTTCATTCAGCCAGGAGATGGCAAGAAGAAATTATTTTGAAAGGTTTATAAAGGAGTGATAGAGTAAGATCATGATTGGATTTTTAAAAGAAATGCATTATTGACACACAAGACACAACATTGACTGGGTGGGAGAAACACATGGGATTAATTCTGATAAACTATGTAGTCACAAACTGAATATGATAAGTAATAATCTACCTTGCATTTTCTGTTTTAGAAAAGTTCTGCAATGGCACCTACTTCTCTTAGACGAAGTAATGACCTGGTGCAATTCAGCCTGGTTCTTGCTTTGGTGGCAAAAATCCTTGGTGAATGAAATCCATTGTACCAGAGCAGACTGTTGAGTAGTCCAGGATATAATGTAATTAGCCAAAGTAAAAAGGAATATGATTTTTTCCTGTTTTTATTAATCCATTCCTCAAATGTATTCCCAACAAAGATATTTGTGTCTGATGACCAAGAAAGTTGCAATATTTCCCCTCTTGTTTTACAGACTGATTTCCAGAAAGATTAGATTTGTTTCTGGCAACTTTATTAAGTTGCATAAAATTGGAAATCGGTTGCTGAAATCTGTCTAATACATCTGTCATCTGGGCACTGAATACCTTATTAAGATTTGCATGAAATTTGTCTAGAATGGAAACTGCTCTTGGTTACTTCCAGGTGTCTGCTTTCACTTTGATAGTTGAAAGTTTATCCGTCAGCTTCTGCTACTGGGAGAAGGAAGACTTCTGCTCTAACATCAGAGTAATCAATAGCTTCAGCATCCTTCTGTGATTGCAGTTGTTTTTGGGTCATAAGCAGAAAGACAGTCTATAAGATGTTTAGCAATCACAATGTAAGCCGTTTGGAAGAAAGTTTAAGTGAAGGTGCTTTCATTCCCAGAGAGAGAGCAAAATAAGGGTGGTTATTGGAGATGACCCAACCAGGACTTCGTGTCTAAATCCGTTTGAATAGTCTGGATTCAAATCCTCCAATCAGAACTCACATTTCTGATTTTATTTCCAAGATAGATCTAAAACCAAAAAGGTGTCCATTTTCTGATTCTGCCTTTGAGGTGGTAGGGTGCATACATCTTGGAGCACCACCTAATGTGATGTCACCAGTATCTTTGGCTCCAGCATC